GAACATTATTAAAGCATAGTGATTTATCACAAAACAATGTCATTATATATTGTGAAATATTTGTTTCTAATGACAAATAAACGCAATTTTGTCTTGAAGCGTGGTGCAGCATGGGTAGGGATGGAGAGGGGTTTTTTCCTGTCAGACTGCTGGATTTCCCAGCTCATTTCCCCACTCTTTCAGCTCTCGGAAAACCCAAATCATACCAGATTCAAAGAAATAATTGAGTAAACCCTTCCAGGCCTGTGGATCTCCCAGAGACAAATACAGGCAGCTGGTTAGAGAGCTGAGAAAAACTTCCCAGAGGGAAAGCAAAAGAGAAGCCTGGAGAAAGGAGAGCCTTGCCCCTTTAAGAATCCAGGGCCCACAAAGGAGAGTGTGAACAGCGGAAACCCGGTTTGAGTACTTCTTTTTTTTTTCTTTTGAGTACTTCTTAAGAGTGTTTATTATTGCTTGAGTACTTACAGGATGGTAAGTTGCTGTACTTGGCTCTGATTCGGTGATCTTCATGTACAGCAAAACAAAGCATTGTCCTGTCCTGTCCTGTGCCCTCTTATTAGGTAAAGTAAGGCTTATGTGGTGGCTCCAGAAAATTCATGGGGAAAAATAGTAACAGTGTCAAGGAATCCATGTAGAAAAAGGTTGTTTGGAAACTGATTGTGGTAACAATTGTACAATCACATTCTACTTGATGTGATTGAAATGTGGAATGATATGATAGCTGTATTAAATCCCAACTAGTGAAAAAGAGAACAAAACGGAATTTGCCCACGAACTTTTTGAAGCCTCCGTGTATAATCTTTACAACAACCCCACGAGGTGGTTACTATCACAGCACTGTGAGGAAACAAAGATATTGGAAGGAGAAATATCACAACCAGGCGTGCTGACCTCGAATAAAAGTGAGACTAGTTTTATCCTAACTCCTAAACATGGAACTAAACGAAGAGTCATGCAGAAACAGGAAGGACTCTTCCTACTGCCAAGGGCCTTTGGAAAAGTCATGGAATTCTCTGAACCTTCTTAATTTCTTTGTTTACAAAGTACCCCAATTATTCCAAGTGCAAAACAATGCAAGTCAAATCCATTGAATATGCATTTCAAAGTGCTAGACAGAAGTCAGTGCTTATTAACCATAATTCTGCCATTAACTAGGTGACTTTAGGCACTGGTTCATTAATTTAACAAATGTTAATAAGCAGGTCTGAGGGCCCTGCTCTGGAGAGACAGAACTGTCCTAGTTCTAGCATTCTTGGATTCTTTGTCTGCCCTTTCTTTCAGACTGAAAAGTTTTCTCCAAGAGCCATTCCTAGGTCAGAAAACAAAGTGGGAGTGGGGGGAACCCCTCTGAAACTGCACTTCTCCTGAGAGAAACCCCAGTGACTTACTTTTAATGTAGTACTTCTCAATTATTAAGAAGTGTATACATCATCTGAATAGCTTTTAAAATGAGGATTCTTGGGCAGAATTCAAAGTCTTCATTTCCAAAAAGCCCCCAGCACAGACTACACTTTGAGAGACAAGACTCCACGAGCTCATGAACTCAAAACCTCACTGCCTGCCACCAAGTGAATACTGACTCACAGCGACCCTATAGGACAGGGTAGAACTGTCCCTCTGGGTTTCCAGACTGTAACTCTTTAGGGAAGGGCCCTGATGATAGTGGTTTCACACTGTCAACCTTTCGGATCACAACCCAACGTGTAACCACTATGCCACCAGGTCGTCGCCCAGTGTAATACAGTTTACATATTATATAAATTATAACTTGTATATTATATGGAATATAACTATATACTTTGATATTATTGTATATTATGATGTAAAATAATTTCTCATTAGCCCAGTGTCATATAATTTGCCACTGTCATCGTGGGAAGTTACAGAGGCGGTAGTTTGGAAAGTTTTGAAAGGGGAATAAGCAAGCCTGAAGGAGGAAAAAGGGCTTAATGACTGACAGATGGGTGAGGAGCACCGAGGACCCATTCCATAAAGTAGTTTGCACCATCCAACCCAGATAGTCCAAGAACTGAAACACTCCTGCCTGCAACTTTCACCACCAGCCCATGAAGCTGGGCTTTTAGCCTTCGGAGGTTATGTCATAATTATTGTTTGGGTGCCTCTCGCCCGTCATGTGACCTGGAAAGGCGGAGCAGAGATAGGTGTGCATTCGCATCCCCCACCTCCACGCAGGCGCCTGCCCTCCCCGCCATGCGATTGGCAAGTGGTCCTAATGGCGCGGCGCGGCCCTCGCTAGCGTCGCCAGGGGGCGCAGCGGCTCCGGCGGCACGGCGGGACCGCCGCCGCCCGGGCTCCCGAGGAGCGCTTTGCGGGCGGTCTGCACCCGGAGCCCCTCCCGACGGCCTGGGCGGGCAACCGCCACCTTTGGAAGCGTGGGGCCTCGTCGGAGTCTGGGTGCTTGGAGCCCGGCGCGCGCGCGTGCCCCTTCCTGGGCCCGCCGGAAGCCGGGCGCCCGGGTCCAGGGCCCGTAACCAGGCGCACGTGGTCCGCCCGGCCCTGTTTGTCCTGGCAGCGCGCCGCCGCTATTTGAGGCGGTTTTTATCTCCCAGAAACCAGAAAAACCCCAAGCGGAGTCTAGGAAAGATGAAAGGGGCCGAGGGGCAGGGGAGGGGAGGACCGCGAGGCTGCGGCGGGCAGAAGCTGGCACCGGGCAGGCGGGGACCGGGAGGCGAAAGGGACAGGCCCTGGGGGGTCCCGAGGAGCCCGCTCGCGGGTGGGGGCCGGAGCCCGGTGGTCCGCTGCGGGCTCGTCTCCCAGACCCGCGCCAAGGCGGGCCCCCGCCCCTTAGGCGCCCCGCCCCCACTCCCGCCGCAGCCCCCAGCCCGCGGAAGAGGTGCTCAGAACCCGGCTTTCTTCAAAGCGCCTTTGAAGCCCCGCGCCCCGCCGGAGGGCAGGCGATTTCGCACCTGGGCGGGGGCGGGGAGACCAGGTAACCGGAGCCCCAGAGTTGCCCTCTTCGGACTTCCCTCTCCCCACCCCCCACCCCCGACCCTTTCCCGCGGCACCAGCGACGTGGACCCAAGACCGCGGGCCGCCGCCCGGCGTCGAACCCAGGCCGGGGGTGGGAGCTCCCTCGGCCCAGCGGGGGACCCTGGAGGGCGAGGGGCGCACAAAGCCCTATTGTGGCTTCGGGCTGGCCGCCACAGAGTGGCTTTTGTTTCTCCGCTAACTCCGTGGCGGGCACGACTGATTGCAGGCCCCGGGTAGGGGCGGGTTACGTGCCAGGCCGGGCCCGACCGCCCGGAGCCGAACCGCGGCTGGGCTGCGGCCGCGGGGCCTGCGATCGGGCCGGGTCGCCGCCCCGGCCGAGGGCGGTTCGCGCAGCGTCCGAGACCCGGCGGAGGAAGGAAGTGCTCCGCGCCCGCCCCACTGTAGAAGGATGTCACCGGGCGCAGCATTTGCCCACGTGCGCGGTAGAATGTCCACGGGGAGCCCCCGTTTCGCTCAGGAAAGATCCTGTAGCCCCCGCCCGCCCTTCCCCATTCCTCCTCCCCCTTTCTCACCAGCACAATTTTCCAATCACGTTTTTATTTAGGTGTTTATTTTAAAAAGACTCCATGAGGGCATGATCCCTTCCCTTCCACAATATTACCCCCTCCCCAAGCTCCAGCGGCTTTAACCCTTTAAACTTGGGACCTTGAGGGAGTGGGGGGCGGGGGCGGGGGGGGGTGTCAGAAAAGGAGGATCCAAAGTCACGGGAAAGGCATTCCAAGGCACGAAGCGGCTTTAAAAGTCACTGGAGGTGGAGTTGGGAGCATCAGAAGTCCTAGGTAGGGGGCCTGTGGACACATCCCCAAATCAACTTTGGGGACCTCGTCCTCCCAGCTCAACTATTTCTTCTTTCTCGTGGCTTCTAGGCCCCAGGCCTAACACGGTGCCTTCACATAGTAGGCACACAGTAAACGCATTGTCTATTGAAATCTGATCCCAGGGAAGGCTTCCCCCACCCGTTCTTCACCTCTAAACCAATGTCCCCTTCCCGTGAGGTGGGCTTTAGCAAGAGAACGCGCCTATGATGGAAGCTCTCCATATCCATGGAAACGGGGGATTAGCCTGATGGGGTCCTGGTGTCTGATTCGCGGTGGGCGGAACCAGTTCTGGGGTCCGGGAGCTGGGGGAAATTCCAGTCCTTGTCCCCTCCCTTAGGACTTGAAGTTTCACAGCTTCTGGCTGGGGCTGGGGCCACTAGGGATTCCCCCATCAACTCTTTAATCTAGATCTATTAGCAGAGATCCCATGAAAAGAGAACCCCCATTAACTGAGACCCTGATTATAGAAATCCCATGAACAAAAATCTCCATTAGCATCTTGTTTCTACAGAGATGCAATGGGCTAGAATCTCCTTAGCAGACATGGACCCCCTTCCCTCCCCGGTTTCACTCTACCTGACCCATCATCATAACTTAGATAAATAGAATTATTATTATTACTATTCATTACTCTTGGTACAAAGGGGTTAAATACACAGGCCTGGGGGCAGCCTCCCTGACCCTGGGGTCACCCCATCTTTGGGATCAGATCCCCACTGGTCTGCCCCCATCATGGCACCCTGCTTCCTGCCAGGTCACTAACCCCAGTGCCCCTAACTCTGGTCCCTAGTGAAGGAAGGGGCCACCAGGGGGCAATAAATTATCGTCATTATCATCGTGTTTGCAGAGAGGAGGAAAGCTCGAGAGGGGAAAGCGGCGGAGTGGGAATTTGAGAGAAGGGAGCCTGGAAACTGAGGAAAGGCCAGAGATAAATAACTTGGGGGTCAGCAAGGATTCCTGTCAAGGAGTTGTTCTTGAGATGGAGAAATTCGGAATTGGGAGCCCAAATGGAAGAGAATGGAGGTGGCGGTGGCGATGGTGATGGTGTGGCAGGAGCGAGCGGGAGAGGGAGGAGCTGTGAGCCAGCGTGAGAAAGCAAGAGTGTAGGGACCAGGCACAGGCGTCTAGGGCCTGGCATGAGAGTTTGCAGAAAGCCAGGCTTATGGCAAGGGAGGCGGTGAGATGAGGCATGCTGGGAGACACTCCTGGCTCAGGGTGGCCAGGAGAGAGATGGTGAAAGCCCCACGGAATGGAGCGGCATGCAGGGGGCAAGGGATGTGAGGGCAAGCAGTGGTCCACGGGGCCAGGGGAGGCTGGCAAGACAGCTCTGAGCAGGGAGACCCTACCCGAGCTCAGATCTCCAGCAGATTGCTTTGCTCCGGGCTGCCCCCGGGGGCTTTTTCAGGGGGTGCAGGGGAGGTGGAAGGTCTAGGGGTCTGACTGGCCTCCTCTTCCTCGGCGCTGCGGGTCTCCCCCAACTCCTTGGGGCCGCTGGGAGGGGGCCCAGGGCCTGGCTCGCCATGAGTGCGCTGGTGTTTGCTCAGGTGGTCGCTCCGGGTAAAGCGCTTGGAGCAGAGCAGACAGGTGAACTTCTTCTCCCGGGTGTGAGTGCGCACGTGACGCTCCAGCTCGTCGGAACGAGTGAACCTCTTGCCGCAGAAGAGCCAGTTGCAGACAAAGGGTCTCTCCCCCGTGTGCCAGCGCAGGTGGGCCTTCAAGTGCGAGGCCTTGCCGTACACTTTGCCGCAGCCGGGGATGTGGCAGCTGTGAATGGACTTCTTCCGCAGCCCAGCCGCAGCTGCCCCCAGCCGCTCTAGCTCCTGGCAGTTGGGGCAGTCACAGGAGGAGCGCCCTGCCCCACTACCCCCATAGCCACCACTTCCCCCGGTGCCTGCACCCCTCGGAGCCTTGGCGCCGCCACCCCCCTCCAGCTGCCCACTATTGCCCACTGCCTTGGGTTTATAGACATCTTGGGGCAGGACATGCTGTGGCCCTGGCTGCAGGAGATGGGGAGTTGGGTAGGGGGCTGGATTCAGGGGGGCAAAGTCAGAAGGGTAGGTGGGCAGCTGGGGGTTCAGTGGAGACTGAGCAGGGCCTGTGGGCAGCGTCCCTTGCAACCCATCACCCTGGCCCTGACCACCACCCAACCAGTTGCCTCCAGGGTGCATATCCCACCAAGGACTGGGAGCATTGCCTGGGCCTGGTGAGATGCCCGCATGGATGCCCGCCTTGTACCAGGAGCCGTAGGGGTGCGCCATGTCCAGGGAGGTGTAGACACTGGGCAGGCAGTCAGAAGAGCTGTGCCCTTTGGGCACAAGGAGCCCAGGATCCTGGGTGCTGGTAGACCCAGGGAAGGAGTGGGAAAAGGGAGGGTAGTCATTGGCATAGCCCGAGGTGGTGGGCACTGGAGGGCTGCCTGCAGGTGAGAGGAGCCCATTGGTGTTGGAGAAGGGGGCTGGGTAGGCATCCCCCATGGCTTTGGGGGCTGAAAGGTCACTGCCCACAGAGTATGGCTTCTTTGCTCCTACTTTGCTCAGTGTGGTGGAGTCCCGCAGAGGGCTGGAGCCTCCGAATTTGCTGCACGCTGCAGTCAGCATAGCCAGGGGGCTGGAGCCATAGTGCGCTTCCTCCTGTGGGGAGAAGGGAGCACTGCTTAGCCTGGAAGAGGGCCGGGTGCAGAAGGAAGGGCAGGGCTCCAGGGCTGAGCCCTCACCACCGCAAAAGTTACAGCAACACCCAAACTCACTGCCACCGTGTCACAGTGACCCTGTAGGACAGAGTAGAACTGCCCCTGTGTTTTTCCAAGATCATAACTTTTTTTCAGGAGTAGAAAGCCTCATTGTTCTCCCCACCAGAGAGGTTGGTGGTTTCAAACCACTGACCTCGTGGTTATTAGCCCAATTCGTCAGTCATCACTATGCCACCAGAGCTCCTTTGGCTGAGCCGTGGACGCATGGAAAGCAGAAAGGAATTGACAGGGGAATTAGAAGGGAGAGAAAGGCAGTGTCAGTGAGCACCAGGGACAGGGACAGAGCCAGGATGGAGTCCGGGAAGGAAAGCAGAGGCCCAGGTGTGCAAACCCAGCTTCCCAGCCCAAGAGGCATGAAGCAGAGATCATTGTGGGGTGTCTAAGAGAACCAACAGAGCATGCCTCCTGGGAAGCAGCACTGGGTTAAACTCCTGGAATCTTCATTTGAAAGGCTGTAAAAGAAGTGAGAATCAGCGATCTACACACACACACCCCACACCAACTCCCAGCAGTGATTTCAACGTGGAGGTCATGGGGCAGGGACTTGGGGAGGAAAGTGGATGTTCACAGAGCAGCCCGAGATGAGAATGAAGTACTGGTGGACGGGAGTTGGCCCCCATTCCAGATCTTCCTGATTACACCCCGTATTCCTTTTCCTGTCTCTACTTCAGTCCCTGACTAAGGCGGTGGCCTGGTCTCCCTGAGGTCGGTCCTTGTGTCCCCGGTGCGGAATCTCTTGGCAGGAACTCTGGAGCAATGGCAGAGACACTGGGACATTGAGAGGGAACAGGGCTACAGCCAAACCAGGACTGCGGTGGAGGCAAGAATGCCTTTCAAGCGGGCAGCGGGCACCTCCTGCTTTGCGGTGCCAGCTGGTACCCCTATGGGAGGGTGGGAAGGGCCTGAGGCCCTTCAGCCCATGGAAGGAAAGCTCACAGCTGACTCACAGCCACACACCTCTGTGCCTCAGTGTCCCCTACCCTGCAGCCTGCTCGCATAGTGAGAGAGAGAGAGAGAGAGAGAGAGAGTATGATGTGTACTCAGAGCCTGGGTCCCTTGGAAACACAAAAGGATCTTCCTTCTTAATGCCAACTAAGCTGCTGTCACCAGGGCAGAGGCCAGTCAAACCACCCTCAAGATCACCACCACTAAGAGCTCAGGGTCCCCTCCCTGGGTCAGCCTCAGACCTCCCAGGAGGGGAGATGCTGCAGAAGCCCTGAGAGCTTAGACAGGCATCCATTTCTGAGTCTGCAAACAAAAGCCTGCCCTCCAAAGCTGACCTTGTGCAGTTTCCCGATTTAAAACAAGATCGAATCTCCTTGAGGTCAAGTCAGTTCTGATCCATGGCGACCCCATGAAGCAGGAATCCAAGAACAACGGGGGTCCAGTCCAGAGGCTTTTCTGAGCTGTGGTCTTTGCAGAAGCAACATGACAGCCCTCTCTTCCACAGACACCTCCACGGGGTGGGTTCCAATCATCAGCCTCTTGATTAGGAAGCCAGCCCAAATGATTTTCACCACCCAGGGACCTTGCCTGACACCTTCCCAACAACGCGGAAGAAGTATCTTGTGACTTGGGGTCTCCAGCCCTGTATGGTAGCTCCTGCCTTTGGGAATGTGCCTGTGGGTGATTTTCATCCTGGGGGACAGTCGAGTATCTTGAGGTTGCTGTGGACCCTGCTCCACTCGTGCAAATCTGATACCTCCCCCTCCTCCGATGACCTCTCTCTGAGGTCCTGCAAGCCCCATGGGATCCTGAATTTGAGAAGCCAAAGAGCTCCCCTCAATCTGACCACCCCACCCCCACCCCGTGGTCCCTCCCAGCCAGAATTTGCCTGGAGTCTCTGATCTTCCAAGCAGAGGGTGGACTAAGGTAGAGTAGCTGGCGGGGCAGGAGCCAAATCCAGTGGGAAGACACATTGGGACGTGGAGTTGGAGAGAGAGGGGCCTGAGAGCCTGAGACATGGAGCGCAAGAGACCCTGTGCAGGGCCAGGGACAGACAGAAATGCCCCATGAGCACGGTGGAAGGGGACAGAGAGTGAGAACCCACTGATTTTAAAGATCAGAATGGGCAGGGACACCCTCTCTTCCCCCAAGAGCAGCAAGGTGACAGAGACAAAAGGGAGAGTGAGGGAAGAAAACAAGCTAGGTGAGAGAAGACAGGAACGCTGAGGCCAACAGAGAGGATGGGGAGTGGGCAAGGTGAGGGGAATAGAAAGGGAAGGGGGGGGGGGCTGACTTCCTACCTAAGAGAAAACCACTGTGGTTCTAGGCCCCAGAAAACCCCCAGACCACCAGGCCACTCCTCCCTCCTTCTCCCCCCTGACCACCCCCTCCTTCTCTGCCCAGCCCAGCCCAGCCCGACTCCGTTGGTTTCCCTGCGGTCGGTTTATTTTTAAAAACGCCGACGCCGTCCCCCCGCCCGCCAGGCCCTCACACTGTGGCCACAGGGGCCTCAGCCAAGCCCAGGGACCCCACCCAGCTGTGGGGAGAGAAGGAGGGGGTGCAAAGAAGGCAGGCAGCCCCAGGCCAGCAGGAGACCCCAGCCCATGGGAGGGAGGACGGCAGGACTCCTGAGGTCAGACAAGAGAAACTTCGCCCTATGCCCCGCTCTTGGCCTCCAGAAAAGCCAAGAGTGCCCAGGAGCGGGGCATAGGGCAAAGTTTCTTCTCGTGCTGATTGCTCTTGCCTGAGAACTGAGCAGGGCTCCTTGTTCTGACCTCCAAGTGGGCTCTCCTCACCTGATCCAATGAACCCAGGAGGCCCGCCTCCCAGTGGCCACCACCACCAACTCCACCACATCAGTCCTTAAGAAAAATGTTTAAAAAGCTGAAGGGAGAAAGAAAAGATAGGAAACTAAAAAGTCCCAGTCTTTTCATCCAGAGATGGGGCAGCGGAAAGAGGGGGGCGTCCCCTCTTTCCAGAGAGGCTGGCCACCTCGCCTGGCCTTCCATTAGAAAGGCTCAGGGTACAGCTGAAAGCTGGCAAATGGGACCTCAGAGGTGCTGGGCACCCAAGGCCCTAGTTTCCAGTCCTTCTCTCTCTCAGCCTCTTCTTCCTCCAGGCTCCCCTGTTTGTTCTCTACTTCCCCACATGCCCCGGGGTCTCACCCAACTCAGGGCCTCCCCTCAAGCAGCTTCTGCAACCCCTTTCTGACCCCAAGGTCTTCCCACTGCCAGGGAGCCTGCCCATCTAGGCAACGGGGGTCCCTCTCGGTGGTGGTGGGTTGAGGTGGGTGAGGGCCCGGGGTCTCTGGAAGATAGGTGAGAGAGATGGTGGGGTCCTTTTGTGTTGGGGCAGCTCTGGCTCCCATGGAGCAAGGGAACACGCAAGGCCAGTTTCTCACCCCCCACCCCACCATGGGCTGCAAGTGGCTTCTTGCCATCCGGTGGTGCTTGAATAGCAGGGCCCCCAAACCAGCCCCTCCCGAAGGCACCAGTGCCACGCTGACAGCTCTGGCCTGACACCCACCCCCAGTGGCCCTGCTCCTGCACTGGGTGGACCCAGGGTTTCCACACGCCATCCCTCCAGCTGCCTCAGGACCAGAGTGTTCCCATGATGACGCAATGTAACACTCACTGGGGAGAAGGCAGGGTGGACAACTGGCCGCCATTGCTGCTGGGGGGTCCAATTCCTGGAGGGTGCCACCGCCGCCGCCGGCATGCAGAGCAATGGCAAGGGGCATGGGACCCACCCTACTCGCCCCACTGGTATTGGTTTGCATGGCATTCACTTAAACTCGGCCACACACGCTCCCTCTTCCAGCCCTGCAAACACACCGTTCCTCTGCAGACCCTCCAATCGCAGCAGTGGACACACGTGCGCACCTGGACTCGCAGAGAGTCAGCCTCGGGCGGATGCACTGGTTTACATTCTGACACGTACACTCAGGCCTTCAGAGACTCTCTGGCCCCATCTCAGACACAGACTCTTCTACGGGCGAATGAGGCCACTTCCGGCTTGGCCCTTCACCCTGGACAGAGCTCGGGGACTAGAAGCAGAGCGAGGCGGTTTAGAGAAGCCCAAGTTTGGAAGTGGGGAGGTTTGGAAGGTGTGGGAGGGGCGGGGGTCTACCATTCAGGGATGGCTCTTGGTCCCAAATTCCTGTAGGGAGACCTGGGAAGCAGGACAGAGATGGGGACAGAGAAGCAGACTGGAGTCCCCGCCCACAGCAGAATACCGCTCTCCAGGCCTCCCTCAGCTCTGCCTCCTGGATCCCCCAGAAACCCCAGCAGTCAGTGTCACCCTGGGAGCTGAGTCCTGACCCCTCTGCAGCTGCAAATCCCTCCATCCCCGGCCCACCCCAGAGAGGCGAGGGGTGCTGGGGTCTCAGCGTGGAGGGGAAGTGGCCCAGTCCGCCTCAGAGCCTCCCACTCCCAAAATAGAGCTGAGTTTGTCTTTGGCTGAAAACTAAATATTTGTGAGCCGGGCAGGCGGCCTCAGACCCTGTCCCTCCCTCTTGGTTCCCTCTCCTTCAGCCTGGGCTCGGTTCCCCTGGTCAGCCTCTCCACATGTACAGGACTAGCCTTCTTCCCTCTCTCTTAGCCCACCTCCTCTCCTACACACACACACCGCCCGGAGGCCCAGCCCCCTGCCCACACACACAGGCAAGATGCTGCTGCGGAGACCAGGAGATGGCACCCCCCAAAGAACTATATCTAGTTGTTCCTTCGTGCCCCCCTCAGCCAGTTCTCTCTGCCCTCTATCTCTTCCTGGGGGGTGTCTGCTACCAACTCCTCTATTTCCCACGCCCGGCCCGGCTTCCCCCTGCCCCACTCTTCAGAGTTGGACTGCTGACCCTAGTCCCCCCAGCCCCTCACCTTCCTTCACTGCTCTTTGAGCCAGGGTCCTGCACCCTCTCCTCCCCCATCCTCCCGCTCTCCCTTTCTCTGGACCCACTCCTCTCTCCTCATCTCAGGCTCCATTGGAAGTGGCTGTGTGAATTGGGGGTTGGGGAAGTCATTAAGATCCAGAGTTCCTGGGGAAAGGGGGGACAGTTACCTCGAGCAGGGAGGATGCCATCCTGGGGCTGGGGAGCGGGTTCCAAGGAGTCAGGCAGATGGAGAGAGCTGAGCCGGAGAGAGGGAGAAGGGGAGAGGGAGGGAGAATAGGAGAATGGGAGAGAAGAGATCTAAAGTTAGAAGGGACTGGGGGGTGGGGGGCGGGGGGGTTGCTCTCTGTCTGTAGGGATCCACCCTCTAATTACAGCTTTCCCAGCGGAGAAGGCTCCAGATCCAATGAGGAGGGCGAGAGAGGGAGGCAGAGGGTCCACATTTCCTGCTCCATTTGCTGAGCTCCCCAAAGAAGGGATCTGGGAGGTAGAGGAGATAAGGGGACACCCAA